TTTGCAGTACGCGGGCCTCTCACTCTTGTGGCCTCTCCCGTTGCGGAGCACAGGCTCCGGGCGCACAGGCTCAGCGGCCATGGCTCACGGGCCCAGCCACTCCGTGGCATGTGGGATCCTCCCGGACTGGGGCACGAACCCGCGTCCCCTGCATCGGCAAGCGGACTCTCAATGACTGTGCCACCAGGGAAGCCCGACACCCAAGTTTTTAAAAATTTAATTTGTAATTCATGAAAAAGGGAAAAAAATGTTTACCTAACCATCAAGTAAGCTGAGGCCCAAGATATGGAGGAAATCAACTTAGCATAAGCACAGGTGAGTGCTAATCCAACATTCACAAAGCTACTCAGTCATAGAGATTTAGCCAACTAGAAGTGATTGTTTTCAATTATATATACACTAAGGCTCAGAATTACACAGCTAATTTAAAAGGATTTTCCTAATAAATAAAAAGGACCTGAAGGATCAAGAGGCCAAAAAAGGCGTAATATGATTAAAAACAAGGGCTCTGGGTTACACTACCCAGTCTGACCACAAAGAAACCACAGGATCTCATTTAGTGGCAAACTACCCACTCCAGGCAGCAGTGTCCTCCTTGGCAAATGGAGCTTTGTCAGAGTCACTGACAGGACTAAAGAGATAATATATTCAAGATACCTAGAACAGGTCCTGGCACATTATAAACACTCAAAACATGTGAGCTGCTATCATCACTATCATCATGTATGACTTTGGATTCAATTTAATCACATTTAAGTGGAAAAACTGAACAGTAGAAGCAGCAAGAGGTTTTTAAGCCTCTCGACTTTATTCAAGCCACAAACTGAAATCCAGCAAAACTTGCTTTGCTAATGGAAAAGGGCAAAAATAGGAACATTTCTGAATCTACACTATGCTCTGTCTGGGATTTCCCTGTTAGGATGGCTGGCATGCAAAGCTCATTTTAAGGCTGATCCAGCAGAGGCAGATTAGCAAGTCAGAGTGCTGGAAACACCCAGTTCATGAAATACACACATTTGCCTCCACTTCCAGAGTAATCATCGATCAATGGATCAGCTGAAGGTAAGCAAGAGGGAAAATACAAAAAGGGTCAAAGTTCAGGTTCAGCAATGACAGAGGGAACAGAGCAGTATTTGGCATTTGGGAAGGTGAAAAAATTGACACTTAGAATAATATATTATCATTTTACAAACTGTATGTATTCATTTAAACTCAGGTGCTAATCAGTAAGAAGAACTAAACTAGAAGAGGCCCTGAAAATCTTACTAGAATTGTAAACACTGTAATATTAATCTGACACTCAAAAAATAAAAATATGCTTTATTAAATAAACCCATATACTATTCTACCTGAATGATCTAGTTAACTCACTTAGGAGAACTTCTGATTAGACATTATGTAGGCAGATCACTGAGGTTAAAAAAGGTTCAATTTAAGACAACATTGTAAGACTCTCTGGAAGTCTAGTTCTTGAACTTGACAGGAATTGGTTATTTTCCCCTTCATAAGTTCATAAGGAGTGAGTTGGGGGGCATTCAATCATTTTGTAGGCGGGCAACCACTCAAAGGTAAATCTTATCTGAAAGGTGACTGGAATAGTGGGTTTCTTACATATATATTACTACTACATTAATCTAGAGAAACCCATAACACAAAACCAAAAATTTTAAGTTAACAGTTTTATGAAGTGGTTAATTTCTCAGTGAGAATAAACTTAACATTCCAAATAAACTTCACTGCTGATCTAAAACAGAAATCTAATAAAAATATAAATAATGATATATTACGTTTTAAGAAGTAATTTCATGAGTTCAAACAGATAAGCTGGTACATGGTACATAAAGGAATTCTAAGATCATTTTCAATCTCTTTTTTTTGGCCACAGGTCTTGCGGGATCTGTCCCCCATCCAGGGATTAAACCAGGCCATGGCAGTGAAAGCCCCAAATCCTAACCACTAAGCCACCAGGGAACTACTCTCAATGGGCTTTTTAAGAAGTTAAGAAGAAACAAAAAACTCTTGCTTTACCATCTAGCTGCCTCAAGCTCCTTAACTCTAAGTTTAAGAGCCCTCGAGAGGAAAGGAATAGATTTTGTGTTGATCCTTAATTCACTTACTATCAATAATATCTCCCAACCCCTGAGCACGAAGAAGGTCCTTCAGCCGTGTCACCTCTTCCTTTAATTCACGAACCAGTTTGGCATTGGGGTCCTCATTGATAACAGCATTGCATTTAATTTGTTTTGCACGATCTGCATATCTAGATCCAAAAAGAAAACACATTTTTGCCATTCCTCAAATGCTCTACTTCTCATAAGTAACATACCATTATTTCTAAATCAAACAGCTTGAGTATTTACACATTTTATGAGCCTTAATAATAATACATTTGTAGAAAGCTTTACAGTACCTTATAAAGATAAGGAAAAAGGCTCCAATGAATTTAAGTGATTTCCCCAAGATCACAAAGGAAATAAATATCAGAGAGAGGACTCAAAACTAATTTATTAGACCATATAGTGTTTCTTCCATTATATCAAAAATGTCTTTAATGAGATAAGAGTTGAAAGTTCCAGATTAAAGTAATGGAACCTATTCATATGTCAGTAAACCTATTCATATGTAAGCAAACATTCTGTCAGTAATTTTTAAAATATTACATGTACTCATAACTTTGTTACTTTTTATGATGTGAGCATTTCTATAATGACAAACATGAGAAGGGGACACTTCTTTTTATAGAAATAAATATTGTAAGAAATTTCTACTATTATCTAAAAGTTATCCAAAAATTTCACCAGAGCAAATTTAATATCTTTCCTATGAAAAAGTTCCTGCCTTTCTCAATGAGACTGAAAACTATAAACAGGTAAAAAGCTCTATTATAATAAAAATCATTTTCCCCCATGTTTCCCCTGTTATGAGAGGGATGGATCATTGTTTACTCAAGCGACTACCCACATAGCATATGAAAATCCATGGCGTAACAAGATGACTTATGGTAGCACTGTGTTCTGTTTAGCTACTGAAATCAAACTGGAGTACCTCAGAGTGCTCAAAGTTTCATCATAGTTGATATCTGCTGGGCTCAGAGCAGCAACCATTGCAGTCCGAGAATTGCCACCTAAAAAGATGAATCATAATTATCTCAAACCATACTCATTTTAGAAAAAATTGTATTGAATGTGTCAAATCAGACAGCACAATCTCAGATCCCAGGATTTAATCAACAGATTTTTTTGGACTGCCCCCACGCCAGGCACTGTTATATGCACATCTTAGCATCTGGGTGTACTTAGCATCTGGATGTCCAGTTTCCCTCTTCCATTAAGATCTCAGACACCCCACCAAGGCCATTCTTAGTGATGTCAAAGTCACTGGCAACATGGACAGCACAACAGGCCATTCTCAGCCACTCCTTCTATCATCAACATGTAACACAGCTAATCACTACCTCCTTCTCATTAAGAATGAGGGAAAGGGGCTACAGGAACAGTGAATGAAGGGCAAAAAGGCCGGAAAACATCCACAAAGAGGAGTGAGGGTTGGTAATATCTAATTGTGTGCATCAAAGGAGCATTATGGGGTTTTCAAAAAGGAAGCAGAAACAACAGTGTGCAGCAAGTGCGTGTGGTCACATAAACAACGACTTCACAGTTCAGGTCCTGAAGTAAACGAGATTTGCGAGCAAACCCTGATGTAAAGGCGAGCGAATCCAGGGACATAGCCAAGATGGCGGAGCAGGAAGACCCTGGGCTCCCTCCTCCCACAGGCACACCAAAATTACAACTGTTTACAGAGCAGCTACTGATGAGAAAACACAGAAGACTAGCAGAAAAGACCTTCTCCAACTAAGGAAGGAATCACGAGACAGTAGGAGGGGCAGAGATGTAGGATAGTTAAGACCCACAGCCCTGGGTGGGCGACCCACAAATGGGAGGATAACTACAATTGCAGAGATTCTCCCCAAAGAGCAAGGGGCCCCCCATCAGTCTACTGCACCAGGAAGATGAGCCCCCAGAACGTTTGGCTTCGAAGCCCAGCAGGGCTCACTTTTGGGAGAGCCAGAAGGCTGTGGAAAACAGAGACTCCACTCTTAAAGGGCACACACAAAGTCTCACCCGCTCCAGGACCCAGGGCAGAGCAGTAATCTGAAAGGAGCCTGGGTCAGTCCCACATGCTGATCTTGGAGGACAAGAGGCAGAAGTGCACCCTGGGGACACAGACACTGGCAGCAGCCAATTTTGGGAGCTCGTTCTATCACAAGGACACTGGTACAGGCAAATCTCATTTTGGAATTCTCCCTCTAGCTTATTACTGCTAGGACTGGCCCTGCCCACCAGCAGGTCTGCTGCCTTAAGACCCGCAGAACCCACAGCCACTCCAGGACCCAGCCCTGTCTACCAGAGGGCCCAAGACCCTGCCCCGCACACCAGTGCACTGGCACTAGCCCGAGACCCTGGGACCCAGCTCCACCCACCAGTGGGCCAGCACCAGCCCCAGAATCCCCTGGGCCCCAACCCTGCCCACCAGCAGGCCAACACCAGCTTTAAGACCCTCAGGGCCCTGCAGCCAGAGACCTGGGAACCCAGCTCTGTCCATCAGTGAGCTGGCACTAGCCCCGGGATGCCCTGGGCTCCAGTCCCACCTGCCACCAGGCCGATACCAGCTCTGAGACACCTTGGACCCTTCAGCCAGCTGCCCCAGGATCCAGCCCCACTCACCAGCATGCCAACACCACCTTTAGGACACTCCAGGCTCTGCAGCCAGCCCTGTCAGGAACTGGCCCTACCCACCAGCATATCGACAACAGATCCAGGACCCCCAGCCCTGTAACCACCCACTCCAGAACCCAGCCCCACCCACCAATGTTTGGCAGCCTCCACACAAGGCAGGGCCTGGAAACCAACTGGACCGGGGGTCAGCCACGCCTACCAGACTTTCCACAGTAGTCAGCCTGCCACAAGAGAAGGACCCTCGCAGCCCACATAGGAGGCACCCCTAGAGCATATAGCTCTGGTGACCAGAGGGAAGTGCATTGCTGGAATGCATAGGATGTCACCTACAAAAGGCCACTTCTCCAAGGTTGGGACACATAACCAACCTACCAGATACACAAATAAAAACAGCAAATTAGGCAAAATGAGGCAACAGAGAAATATGTTCAAAACAAAGGAACAAGATAAAACCCCAGAAGAACTAAGTGGAAACAGGCAATCTACCCAATAGAAAGTTCAAGGTAATGATTGTAAAGATGTTCAAAGAACTCGGGAGAAGACTGAATCAACAGAGTGAGAAGTCAGAAGTTTTTAACAAGAGTTAGAAAATATAAAGAAGAACCAGAAAAAGATGAAGAATAAGATAACTGAAATGACAAATACACTAGAAGGAATCAACAGTAGATAAGATGATACAGAGAAATGGATCAGTGAGCTTGAAGATGGAATAGTGGAAATTACTAAAGCTGAACAGAAAAACGAATAAAAAGAAATGAGGACACTTTAAGAGACCTCTGGTGCAACATCAAGTATACTAACATGACACGACAGGGGCTGCACGAGGAAAAGAGGGAGAGAACATATTTGAAGATATTAATAGATGAAAACTTCCCTAACCTGGGAAAGGAAAAAGACATCCAGGTCTAGGAAGCACAGAGAGTCTCAAACAGGATCAACCCAGAGAGTACCACTCCAAGACACATTATAATTAAAATGGCAAAAATTAAAGATAAAGAGAGAATGTTAAAAGCAGCAAGGGAAAAGCAACAAGTTACTACAAGGGAACTCCCATAAGGCTATCAGCTGACTTTTCAGCAGAAACTCTCCAGAATGGAGTGGCATGATATATTTTAAATGATGAAAAGGAAAAACCTGTAACCAATAATACTCTACCTGGCAAGGCTTTCTTTCATTCAGATTTGACGGAGGTATCAAAAGTTTTACAGATAAGCAAAAGCTAAAGGAGTTCAGCACCACCAAACCAGTTTTACAAGAAATGTTAAAGGGACTTCTCTAAGTAAAAAAGAAAAGGCCACAACTAAAAACATGAAAACTACAAAAGGAAAAATCTCATTGGTAAAGCCAAATATACAGTAAAGGTAGTAAAGCCATGTATAAAGCAAGTAGGAAGGTTAACAGATAAAAGTAGTAAAATCATCTATATCCTCAATAAGTAATTAAGGGATACACAAATTAAGAGATGTAAAATATGATGCGAAAACATTAAACGTGAGGCTGGGGTGGGGGGGCGCAGGGGGGGCGGTGAAAAGGCTGAGTTGTTAAAATGCATGAACTTAAGAGATCACTAATTTACAATAATCCATATATATAAATTGCTATGTACAGTGTGGGAAATACAGTCAATAACTACAATAATATCTCTGTATGATAACATATTGTAACTAGACTTGTGTGATGATCAGTTTGAAATGTATAGAAATACCAAATCACGTTGGGTAATAGGAACTAACATAGTGCTGTAAGTCAACTATACTTCAAAAACAAATAAACAAACAAACTCACAGAAAAAGAGATCAGATTTGTGGTTACCAGAGGCAGGGGGTAGGTCAGAAGGGAAATTAGATGAAGGTGGTCCAAAGTAGTACAAACTTCCAGTTATAAGATAAATAAGTACTAGGAATGTAATGTACAACATGATAAATATAATTAACACTGCACTATGTTATAAATGAAAGTTAAGAGAGTAAATCCTAAGAGTTCTCATCACAAGAAAAATTTTTTTCTCTTTAATTTGTTTAATCTATATGAGATGATGGATGTTCACTAAACTTACTGTGATAATCATTTCACGATGTATGTAAGTCAAATCATTATGCTGCATGCCTTAAACTTATACAGTGCTGTATGTCAATTATATCTCAATAAAACCAGTAGGCAAAAAAATTATTAAATTAAGGTGAGCAAATCCAACCAGCTTGAATCAAGAGAAAAAATGAAAAAAGGAAAGAGCACTTAGGTTAGTAATAGAGATTTTTCTTCTCAAAAAACAGACACACAGGACAATTAACCACAAAACATAATCAGTAAACAGCTTTAAAAAGATCCACACACTGGTGGATCAACATACCTAGATTTTCTCGAAGGAGCCAAGTAAGTACAGAATCTCTGTACGGAATAAAATCAGTTTTCTTCTTCTTCTTACTCTATTAAACAGAAAGAAATGGCCTTAGCCTCTCTTAGCGTTGTTAGAGAGGAATAATTCACACAAAAGGCAAACCAGTCTAAAATTCCCAAGTAAATTAAATTACAGTAGGATGTTATCACTGTTGAAATTTAACACTCACAGCTTCAGATCTTCACAATACCCAAAGCTCATCCAATAAATAATATTTTTTATATTTTATTTTGAAAAATTTACAACATACACAGCAGTTTGGAGAGTAGCATAATAAGCTACCACATATCCATCATGCAGCTCCAACCATTATCAATTTTTTGCCAATCACTTTTCAATTATCACTCAAACACTTTTCTACATTTTTTTCTTCCTGAAGCGTTTTGGAGGAAACTGCAGACCCCATGCCCTTTTATCCCTAAACACTTCAGCAGATAAGGACATCCTCTTACACAGTCACAGTTCAAGGACCAAATTCAGGAAATTTAACACCAGTGCAATACTATTATCTAATACC